CATGAACTCGGCTAAGAGAGATTCACACATGTCCGGGGAGGCACTGAGAAAAGAATGCTATAAAAAATATATTTTTATGTTTTAATATAGAAGTTTAGAAGAAAAGTTTAGAAAGTAGTTCCTGATTTTATTTTGTTTCCATTTTTTATTGTGGTTAATTTTAAATAATACAGTCATATATTGAAGAAAAGAAAATAGATCCTTATGATGGTAAATCAATTTTTTTTCGGTGCTTCTGTGTCTGGGAATGAAAATGGAAATAAGATGGTACGGGACGGGAATTGGGGTCAGGGGCTGGGATGACGATGGCCACGACGACTGGCTGTGGTGATATCATCAAGGTCAGTCACACGGGCGCAAGCGGAGGCAAGTGGAGCGGCAACCTGAATAAGTCGCGCTAAATTGAGCGTCTCAGCGTTAACGAGCCCCGGTGACGGGCGAGAGCCACTAAAGCCAAACTCGTGCACCGGACGTAGCCGGGCGGTACTTCCCTCCCACTGGCACTAGCGCTGCCACCTACGGACTCCTACTAAATGTCCCACTACCCTCCTTTTCACTCCTCAAGGGTCACTTCAATCGCCACAGCCGCCACATGCGGCGCCATGCAATAAAAACCAAGCGCCACTGGCTCCCGGTTTTTGCGTCTCATGCTGTGCAATTTTAACGTTTAAGTGGGACCTGCGTTTAGTTTTCCCCAAAAAATATCTTGAAAAAGTCCAAATGATGGGGAAAACATGACGCTGGCTTTTAATTACCAGAAATTAAGTTTAATTTTTAAAATAATAGCTGTAGTTTTTTTTGTTTATTTTATTTTAAAAGATTAACCCATATTGCAAACGAGGGAACTGATTTCTCAACACCCATCCCCTTTTGGCCACGCCCGTGCTTTTATTTTATAGTTTGCCTGGCGCCAGACATTCGCCTAATGGCCGGCAAGGAGAAAGGCCTGTGATCGGAGTCCTGCCGCCTGGCAAATGAAAAGGTCAAATGGTCAGTCAAAACTTGATGATGATTGTGTCTCATTAAAGCATATGGCCATGTTTCTTTTCGAGAGTTTAATGATTGCGTGGCAGTTTATAGGCCGGAAGAGAATGCAAGGAAATGGCCTGGAAAATATTGAATAGGATTTTCTCATGGCGATACGCATACTCCCAGGAAGGACTCTCCACAAATGGTTGTTCAGCATTCCTAATACTCAAAAGTTCCTACTCAAGTGCCATCCACCATCTTGGCCACAATTAAAGCCAATAGTCCTTTCGGTATCCAGCCTATAATAGACACCTGTCTCTCACACCTTGATCTGTCGTTTGGTATCAATTAAGTCTACCTGCCTACCCGCCTTTACCCTCTTCAACTCGTCAATTAAACCATACACATTTTGGAATGTACACTGGAAAATGTTTCGATAAGAAATAGAAAATATGATTATTAAAATTATTAAAATAATAATTACTACAGAATTTGAATACGTTTTTATATTCAAATATTATATACATATTATAGCCCTGATAATTTTATCTCCTCTAATTAGATCCTTAAATATTTCTTCCTGTCCATAAAAAACAAAAAAAGAGGACTAAAAGAATAGTAGAAACAACATGAATGCCAAACATCAAAAACTCGTAAACAAAAATGAAAACACAAACAAAACACAGTCAACTTTCCCTCTACTTTCTTTACACCCCTATGGCTCTTGGCCCACTTCATCCATTTCCGCCCCCGTCAACCCGATTTTTGTGTGTCTCTCATCTTTGTTTTTGTTTCGTTTGCTTTTGTGTTGTTTACCCTTTGGCTTTTACCGTTCGTTTTGTCGTTGGCCATGTTTTTTAGCATTCGCCAAATTTTGAAAACAAATGCAAACGAAATAAACAAGGGAGGCGGTGATAAAGGTATTTGAAAAGGGGGTGGAGTTGATTGAGAGCCGGCGGAGGTCAAAGGGGGGTAGCCAAACCTTTTTCCCCTTTTGGCCGCTTTGACCTTTGGCCAACAAAGCTGGCTCTAAAGAGGAGGGGACAGGCCCGGCACCTCCCCAGCACCTTCCCATTGCGTCTTTCACCTGGCCATGTCCTTGTCATAGTCGTCATCAGCAACGTCCCTCCAACTCGCGCCGCGAAACTTTTGAAATTATAATTTAATTTGAATGTCATTAAAATTTTCGCGTTTGCCCACGGTCTCTGTCTAACGCACATCTACACACCAGGGTCGTTCCTATCCCGTGCCAGGATATCATATCCATGGCAGCATTCATAAGATTTCCATGGAAAATTAAAATAAACCAAGGCGAAACCAAAGCCAGAAAAACTATGAAGCGCTTCTATTTACACAACGAATATTAGTGAATTTAAAATAGGACTCTGTTTATGTTTCGCTTGAAATGTTCTCATTAAAAAAACAATATCCTAAAGTTATTTGGGAACTTAGGAAAATTTAGGAGATATTTAACTTACTTAGGATTTTTCCATTCCTGAGAAAAAAGACAGAGGTTTGGGTGAAGATGATCGACTTCTTCCAATAAGAAATACTTATTTCCTTCGGTCCAGCAACCATTTAACATTATTACTTATAATTTTGTTTATTCAGAGAAAGTTGAGCAGTTTGTTGTTTTGTATTTCAGCTTGGGGAAAAAAATATTTCGTAGCAGGCCATATGAACTCAAATATACTTTTCAAGAATTAAGTGGCGCTCACGCCAACTTTGAAGTTGAAACTTTTATGATAACAGTTGGCAAGAAAAATTACTGAAGTCAGCTGAAACTAAAAGCCAACATTATGTCTTCTAGCAGAAATGAAATAAAATAGCTTAAATACGAAGACAACCTCTGCAGAAAATGTGCATGTTTAGGAAAAATTTTCAAGGGGAAAGACTGTGAAATGTGACTTGGAAAATGGGAAGAAAAAGTGCTGCAATTGCACAAAATACTAAAAAATATTTACTAAGGCTGAGGGATGTCTTATCTTTTATAAAACAGGCAAGGAAAATATTGGTACCAGTATCCCTTGAAAAATATTATATCAAGTTGGGGCCTCCATGAAACTTATGAGGGTTGCCCGGGAAACACGGCAGTGAATTAGTCAGGGAAAAATGCAAAGAAAACGGAGAAACTCGAGCTAATTTAGCTGAAATGTGCACAAGGAAAGAGGGGACTTAAATTGCCGACTTGCAACTCGCATTTTGGTGGCGTCTTAATGCTATTTTAATTGTGCGGCGGAATAACGTTTAAATTACTGCGGCGCCAGCTGAGAAAGCGGCTTAAGCTGCCGGTCCCCTGCAGACAAGCTGCTTAGCTAAAAGGAAGGGAGCCAAAAGGACTTCTTCGAAGGGCTTCTTGGAGAAGGAAGAAGCAGGCGGTGTAGCTGCAAGGGGCGTGGTAGCGGAGTTATTACACGAGCGCCATCTAATGGGTTGTCAGCATGCAAGGTTCATTTCTCAGTCCAATTCCCAGACCATGTCGTAGCTCAATTTGACGCCAGGACTAGCTGCAGTTTGCAAAAGGACACGACAACGTCAAGGACATGGGCTGGGAAACTCATTTGCCGCCTAGAGTCCGGCCAAGCTGCAGCCTCCCCGGCTCCAATAAAACTGTACTGTTCTGTGAAACTTATTGGGGCATGCCACCAGAAGTTTATTCATTTGGTTTTCCATCCTATATTATTCTGTTTCAATTTTATTTCGAGTTTTAATTATTCAATGCATTTAAACGACTTGACTTTATCTGTTATTGAGGCTTCTTTCTTTGAAAAGACACAGTTTTTAAAGTTAATTACATTTTAATTTTTGAGAAGTGTAGAAAAAATGTTTCAGATTCAAAATGAAACTATTATGGAGAATATTCTTTGCAATAAGCTGTGGCTAACCGCACTAATTATGTTTGAAAAGATATTTGCCTAAATCGGTCAAGTGACTCTAATGAAAGCCATATAAGAAAATATGTTTAACGACGTTTCAGGCAAAGGCTCAGGCTCAGGCTCTGGCTCAGAAAACGATACGGGCCACTCGAAAACCGCTGGTGAGTGGCTTCGCGTCAGGTGTGTTGGTTAACCCAAAGGACGGTGCATTGGGTGCAACGAGGGGTGGCACTTTAGAACTTTTCAATGGAACCGAGACCAAGAAAGCAGGCAGCTTTGCATCTCTGCTCAAGTGGCACACCAATACACACATACAACGCAAAGGCAAACACATAAATATTGTAGCACACTAACGGGGGCAGACGACACAAGCACCCAGCAAGTCAACTTGCATTGAAATGTTTGTGACTATGTGTGGTCACAGGACACTAAGAAAAATAAATAAGTTTTATTTTCATATTTGTTTATGTCGAATTTTTAATGTCTCTTGAGTAAAATGATAAAATAATACCAATCCTTTAGGTAATTAATACTTGAAGCTTAAATAGCATACCCCACTTATTAATAAAGTTTTCACTTTCTCGCTTTGTTTTCTCACTGTGCTGCTACCGGCACAAATTTATACAATGAGCCCCCGGGGCCAGAGGAAGCCAAGACAAATAGCTTAATGTCTGTTCCTTCTATTTGCAGTTCAAACACACAGCCGGGACAGGATACGGATTAGGGGAAAACAAAAGCCCAGTGGCCGGAGTGGGCGCTGCAAAAACTAAAAGTGCAACAGCTGCCCAGGAAACCAAACTTAACAGAGGCAACCGAAAGCCACAAAGTCCTGGTCCAAATCCGATCCGAACCGAGCGGCGCCTTTCTCTATTCCAGGCTGCGAGGGCCTAGTTCCAGAGCTGCTGCAGTGGGAGAATGTGCAGTGCAACTCACGGGCGGCAGCTTCTAGTGGCAACTGTGGCAGCAGCGGCAAACGCAACCGGATAATAAGTCGTAGATGCGGTATCCCGTAACCGAGTTTAGAATTCGCCGAAAACAGCATCAGTGTCACATCCAGACACTCAACCTGCAGAACTTACCACACAGCTAACTACGGATAGGACACAGTGCCAGAGCCAGTGACGTCAGGTCTAAGTAGGACACCGTCTCCGTCACCGCCACCGCCACCGCCACACATCGCCGCCCGTCTGCTCCAAAGCCCTGCGCATTCGCGTCATGGCCTCCGTTCGTCAGAACAGCCAGCTGTACCGCCCCATCCCCATTCCCCTGCACCTGCAACTGCCGTTGGTGTTGGTGCTGTCGCTGCACCTTTCCGGTGTCTGCGGCGTCATCGACCGCCTGGTGGTGCAGACGTCCTCCGGCCCGGTTCGGGGCCGTTCGGTGACGGTGCAGGGGCGCGAGGTGCACGTCTACACGGGCATCCCGTACGCGAAGCCGCCCGTCGAGGACCTACGCTTCCGGAAGCCGGTGCCGGCAGAGCCATGGCACGGCGTGCTCGATGCCACCCGCCTTTCCGCCACCTGCGTTCAAGAGCGGTAAGTCTGATTGTTAAATTTTGTCTTACATTTCTATGATGGGTTGCAAAATAAACCGGAAAGATGAAGCTTGGCCGGGATTCAGCTATGTTTGGAGTTGACCGGAAAAATGCAGATTTTCATAACTATTTCAGAGGGTTAGGGAAGGGGCATGGATGCCCCACTTCCGTGCTTGACCTAGAATGAAAAATCGCAGCCCGGCTGCAGTGCTAGCTTTGTGTTGACCTAACTATGGTGCCATGACGTCATAACCCTTGCAAAAGCCGGTCAAAATAAAAAAACGTTGCACAGCTTGAGCACCATGCCCCATTGAAATCTCAAAGTTGATTTTGCCATATTTTTGTGGCGCAAACAATGTTCTTTTTGAATAAATTGACGTCCAACAGAAGTTACGATTATAAGCCATGTAAGTCTTTAAGTTTGTAGAGCAGATACCGAATATCGAATCATTAATTTCCTTTAATTACTTTATTTATTAGTACCCTTGGTTAGAAATAAAGGTAATATGCTTTCAGGGAAAGGAAAAGCATTTCATCAGGCTCATTTTGTTGGGACGAAGCTATGGCTCTTGAAAAAAAGAAGCAAAGTTTTTCCGGGGCCACACACCCAAAAGGAAAGTCATCAAAATGTGTGGCAAGAGGAAATTAGAAAAATATAGTGATAAAGGTGAATGGCAGCTGGCTGGAGGTAGAGCCAGAGGCAGAGGTAGAGTCAGAGGCAGCAGCAAAGGAAGAGGAAGTCGAGGAGAAATCGCCTCTTTCTCTGCGTCTGTGATAAATTACTTTTATGCGAAACGGGAAAGTTAATTTTAATGGTCACGAAGCCAAACACACCTAAACATACGTATACTGCATACACCTGTTTACATATTTTATTATATGTATGTCTGTCTGTATATAAAATACGTCTGCTGGGTGTATGTGAGCCAAGGTATCTATAGAGACTGACAGCCAAATGCTGAGCTTTGTACGAATGCGTAGGGATATCGATTCAGGCGATTCAACATTTATAAAGCAGGGAAACTATGTCAAATGTGTAGGCACAACATAGAGGGTGTACGGGTGTCCGGGTGTCCGGGTGGGTGTGTGTGTGGCATGTGGCTGGCAAAAGTAAGGCGAGTAAAACGGAAGAGAGCAAATAAAAATAAATAACACAGCCGGTTAGTTTTTCGTAATTGGCATGACCGAATTCCAGATGGGGGACAAACAGCCTTTGATTTGCATATAGGTCAGTAACTAATCAGGTCTCTTTTCATTCCCAGATATGAGTACTTCCCGGGCTTCTCCGGCGAGGAGATCTGGAACCCCAACACCAATGTATCCGAGGACTGCCTTTATATAAACGTTTGGGCTCCTGCCAAGGCACGTCTCCGCCATGGGCGTGGTGCCAACGGGGGTGAGGTGAGTATTATTTCCGTATAGAAATAATGAATTTGTTAAAAGTTAAATAAAATGTTACTTTATAATTTGGCAAAACATTTCAAAGGATATCATTCCTTAAATTCAAACGTTTTCAAGGCTTAACATTCATCTTTTTTTTGGCAGCACTCCAATGGAAAGCAGGGGGACACGGACCACCTGATCCACAATGGAAATCCTCAAAACACAACAAACGGGCTCCCAATTCTTATTTGGATCTATGGAGGAGGTTTTATGACTGGATCCGCCACCCTGGACATCTACAATGCGGATATTATGGCCGCCGTTGGCAATGTGATAGTGGCTTCCTTCCAATACCGCGTAGGCGCCTTTGGGTTCCTGCATCTGGCGCCGGAGATGCCTTCGGAGTTTGCGGAGGAGGCTCCGGGCAATGTGGGTCTCTGGGATCAAGCTCTGGCCATCCGCTGGCTAAAGGACAATGCCCATGCCTTTGGCGGTAATCCCGAATGGATGACTCTGTTTGGCGAGTCGGCGGGTTCCAGTTCTGTCAATGCCCAGCTGATGTCGCCTGTGACTAGGGGCGTGGTCAAGAGGGGTATGATGCAGTCTGGCACCATGAATGCACCCTGGAGTCATATGACATCCGAGAAGGCCGTCGAAATCGGCAAAGCGCTGATCAATGACTGCAATTGCAATGCCTCCATGCTCAAGGTGAGTTTCACGATTATCTTTAAGATGAACAATCATTAATGTACAATACTCTTTCCAGACTAATCCCGCTCATGTCATGAGCTGCATGCGTTCGGTGGACGCCAAGACCATTTCGGTGCAGCAATGGAATTCGTACTCGGGCATCCTCAGCTTCCCGTCGGCGCCGACAATTGACGGAGCCTTCCTGCCGGCGGATCCCATGACGCTGTTGCAAACGGCGGACCTCAAGGACTACGACATCCTGATGGGAAACGTCAGGGATGAGGGTGAGTAGCAGTAGCAGCCTATCGTGGTACTTGGTTTAAGATTCGCACAAATTTCCACCCGCCGGCGACTTTATCAACAGCCGCTGCCTCGCACTTCAGCCATCACTCTATCTTGGCTTTCTTTCTGGGTCGTCCTTGCATCTATTGTTGCATCCTCTGCGACTGACGTCAGCGTTAAACTTTATCCAAAACAAAGTACTACCCATTGCCAATGTTGTTTGCCAAGCTTTCTACCCTCGTCCTAGAAAACTTTCTGCTGCATCTCGCAGCGCTCCATCCATTTCGGATTTTATTACTTTTCTGCAACTATATATATTTACTAGATATGCTTTTGTTGTGGCCTGGCTGGCAAACAAAATGCATTTTATTCTTGTCGTTTTATGGCTACACACAGAAAAAAGTGTGTATTTTAATAAATAAATGATTAGTTTTTTAGAAAACGAGGGGTTCTCTTACAAAGCCTATTAATATGTTTACAAGACTCATTATTTTCATGTATATTTATTTTGATTTAAATACTTTAATCAATATTTTTTTTCATGTGTGATTATAGTCAGGATCTGCGGCTTAGTCGGGCAGCGTTTCCAGGACCCGTAATGCATTTGGTACTTTTTTGTTGGCTCGAGTGCTTAATTTTTATGGTTTATTGCATGGCACTGAGCTGGGAACTGAGGGTGTCTGTGGTTTGGGCTGTGGCAGCAGTGGTTACAATGTGCTTAGCTTAGTCTCAGTTTACTGTCACCAAACTGCACTTTGCGTAATGTCCTGTGCTGTGTTGGCTTTCGTTGTCGCCTTCCTTTGTCAACTTCGCACACAAATTACGAATTATGCTGGCTTTAAATTTCGGAGTGCGGCAAGTGTCAACGCACCGGAATTCCAGGGCAAATACAAAAAAAACTGCAGAAAGCCGACAAACTTGCCAGACTCGCCCACGCAAATTGTGGTGAGCCCGGGGAAAAAAGGGAAAAAATACGAAAAAATATACGTAAACCCCACGCACACTCACACAAGCCGGGCCACGGATACGGCGCTCAGCTGTGCGGGACGGCATCATAAATTATTTAAATATATTTTGCTCAGGTGACAGCAGGGGGCGGTGGGCTGCCAGTTGCCAGTTGCCCGGAACCCGCTACCCGTTACACGTTGCTAGTTGCCAGTTTCCAGCAAAAGCGAAAGCAAAAAGCGAGCCCTCCACTTGATGGGCGGAACGGGACGCGTGAGTGCCACACGTGCCGCAGCATTGTCCGTGGAAAGGGGTGTGGGACATGGGGAGTTGTAAAGGCATGCCTCCGGCCAGAGTTGTGGGGCGGCGATGTACGCCGGATTGTTATTAAAGGGGGGGTGTGCTGCAAACTATTAACACTCAAAGTTCAGTTAAAGTTTCGCTGTAATTATTTTTTATTAGCCCCGGCCAGTGGGCAAAAAATATTGAAGCTATTACAGACTGGGCCATAGTTTATTATATTTTACTTCCCATAAGTTTCAACTCTATCACATACCATCAGCTTTTATAGTTATTGTTTGGCAGTTGAGATTGGCAAAGTCGGAATTAAATTATAATTAAAAATCATAGTACTCCAATACACTATAGTATTTTATATTATCTGAATAGTATATCCCTTTAATTGGTTATTTAACTGAAAATACAGACTGTTTATAGGAGAAACCTTTTTCCGTTCTTTGATAAATTGTACTGTTTGAAAGGCGATGGAAAGTTTTCCCCAAAACGGAAAGACCAAGGGATGCTGTTGTTGATTCGCCCCGAAACTGGCGGAAAATATTATCCTTTCTCGGGCTGCTATTCTTCTTAATTTGGTGCATGGCTCTTTGTGGGCATTTGTGCTGCTGGTTGTTGGCTGCTTTTCCGTGCCAGGCCGTGTAAGTGGCGCACTTGTAACAAATTTTCCGTTTGCGTTTTCCTTTCTTATTATTTTGCGAGCTGCCGCCACCGCAGGATGTCGGTGGGTGGGTGGTGTTTTCCTCCTTTTTTATTTCTCCCTCTTTCTGGTGGTTTTCTTTTTTGGGTTCTTGTGGTGGGTGGGAGGTGTTTGGCTGGTGGTTGTGTTTTTCGTATAACAGATTGAGGAAGATTCTCGGCGCTTTTTGTGCTTTGGCTTTGGCTTGCTTTCGATTTTCTTGTTGCTTTTGCTTTCTTGCCAGGAGCAGAAAATACACTCGTAAGCCAGCCAGCAGACACGTGTGCTTTTCTGCTCACTTTCACTCGCCGCTCACAGCTGCTGTTTTCCGCTTTCTCTCAGCTCTCGCTCGCTGGCTCGCTTTCTCTCTGCCTTCACGGTTCTCTCTGCTTCCTTGCCCCGCCACCTTTCTCCGGTCCCCTTATCCCTAACGCCGTATCCCTTGCCCTGTTCCTGTCCCTGCCCTAGCCCTGTCCCGGTCCCGTTCTCTGGTCGCCCTCTTCTCTTAGCCAAAAGGTGTGCGTGCGTGCCCGCCAGGCAACCGCCACCATTTCCATGGGTAGAAGCACCGTTACTCAGCTGAGTGTCTGTGTGTGTGCGTGTGCTTGTGTGCTGGTGTACTGGTGTGTTTGTGAGTTCAAGGTCATCTAGCATTTGCAACAATACGAATACAAATTCAAATACATTACGATGAGCCGCGCACATAAAAAGCATCCTTTTCTGTTTGTTTTTGACAAATTCGGTTTCCCTGCGTCCCAACAAAAAAGTATACATGTGTCCTTAAATGTTTGTTGGTTTGTAAGCGTATGCTCACTTAATATTTATTCTAAATAAAATATTTGCCTAGTTAAAACCATTGCATTTGGTTGCTAAACTAGGAATGGTGGTGCACTTAAAATTTCAAACAGGCAAGTATTTTGGTTGATTTTCCTAAAAGCTGGGTAAACTATAAATTGATATTCAATTTAATAAGAATTAAAGTTTTAAAAGTTAAGAGAAAACTGAAGTACGAAGAAACTTAATCAAAAATTTTCTTTGGCTTCGGAATGACTGGCAAGTGCAGCAGAAAAGTATGCAATAAATCTCAGCGGCTGGAAGGCGCCAACTTTTCGGTGCTTAAATAATTCATTTTTGGTGGCAGTTCCTCTCGAGGTTGCATGCCCCATTCTCTCTCTCTCTCTCTGTATGTGTGTGTTTGTGTATATTTCTGCCAGCTTGTGTATGTGTGTAAGACAGCTTGTTTGCTCGTTAATTGCTTCGCGTTTCGAGACGTCCAACTTATATAGCCAGGCTATGTAGACGTGAATTTTCCCTCCAGCCAGGCCCACGTTCCGTCGATTCGGCTGAATAGGATGTGGCTGTTGTTGTTGCTGTTGCTAACTCAATTATACACTCATTAAAACCGTATTTACATTTCTCTTACAAGTGTATGTGTGTGTATGAAAGCGTGTTTGTATGCAAGAGTGTGAGTTTTCCGCAAAAAATCAAGGAAATTTGTGGCCACAGAGGGAGTGTGTTTTTGGCAATTTAATTAAAAGCATATTCCTGATTCACAGCACTAGTTGAGAAGCGGAAATTAATTCAATCTTAAAGCTGTGAATTTATTGTGCATGTATCTACAAAAGTTTAGTGTCATATAGGGATTCAGTTTCATAAAAATTCTTTTCATAAAATTGAAGAGTAGAAACCCGTCCTGTTAAAGCCTTAAGGTAAACATATTTTAACAGAGTACAAATGCCCTCCCTCCCCCATCTGGGAAATACACATCGACTTTAGTAAACGACAGTTTCCGGCAGCCTTTTCAAGATTGTTTGCAATTCAAGTCAGAGCTCCTCGTGCATGGCTTTGCATAAGGTTTTGACCTTAATGGAATCGAAGCAAACATAAACACAGTGGGCCAGCAAGATAAATTGGGAATGGGTTGCACGTGCCCTCAACTGGCACAAGCACCAACACACACTTTCTTCAATGTCCTGTTGTTGCTTCTGCTGTAAATGTTGCCGTTGTCGTAGATGTTGCTGTTGTGTTTTGTGGATGTGTTGCTGCTGTCGTCGCTCATAGGCAGCAATTATGGTTCGTTAGTGTGGCCCGTATTTGAAGTGTGCGACAAAGACAAAAGCCCGAGAACAACAACTGGGCCAACAACAAGTGCCATAAAAATTAAGTTAATAAAAGGCAACGACGAGCCTCTTTGTTCTCCCGTCCTGCTTGTTTTAGGTCGTTTTAGTACCCAGTTTTGCAGGGGTTATTGGTTTTCGTGAAGGTATTTGATAAAATACAATTATCGCAAATTTAAAATTTAAAATTCTTGTTAATTTTAATCAAATATTAAGAGTAAACATCGTTGCTTTAACTTGATTAGGCATTAAAATCTGCTTACTTTCGCAGGTATCTCCAAGTCGATTGGCCACAAGCCTCCTCCTTTGGGTGACTGATGTTGTTGGGTACAGAAACATTTTGTTTATTCTATTTTGTCACTCTTTCACTTACTTCTCCACTTCTACAGCAACGCTTATGATTGCTGTTGCCGTTGTCGTGTTGTCGGGTCGTCGGTGTTGCTGTGTGGTGGCTGCCGTTGTTACTTTTGTGGTGTTGGTATTGCTGCTGGGTCGTGGGGTTAATGTTGTGCGCGGTGTCCTTGGCACGGCCGACTATTGTGAGTCGGCATCTTGGAGCGCCGCCTGTAGTGGTAATTGTTTTCTCGGATTGGCCAAAAGCCCTCATAGTCCATCGTATTGTTTTGACGTGACCTCGCGCGAACTAAAATAAAAAGAAAATACCCATTTTGAAAACAACTCTTCTCTATTTTTCAGGCACTTACTTCTTGCTGTACGATTTCATCGATTACTTCGATAAGGACGACGCCACGGCCCTGCCGCGGGATAAATACCTTGAAATAATGAACAACATTTTTGGCAAGGCAACGCAGGCGGAACGCGAGGCCATCATATTTCAGGTAAGTTTTTTCGCCATCAACCCCCTATAGGAATGGAAAAAACCACGAATGGCAGATGACGCCAAAGTGAATTAGAACATCAGAGAAGGATGCCACCAGCAGGCAACAGACTGCATGCTGCATTTTCTAAACAAGTTAAATGCAATGTCAGCGGCGACGGCTACTTGATTGAATGGCATTCCGTGGTTTTATTCATTTACTGTTCCCTGTCGCCGGGAAATTTCATTTTGTTCCGTTGCGCGTCAACAGTGGATATGGATTTGACAGCTCTGCTGGCCATGATGCTGCACTAGTCAGCCCACGGGATGAGAGTCTCCCTGGTTCCGATCTAATCGAACGGAAATTGCCTGAACTGACAGCTAACTTTGTTTCCAAATTGGACGGGAAACAGCCCGTTTTTCCAGCCGGGAAAACGGTTATTACCTTTTGGAAAAAATAAATATAGTTTCCGGTTTTTTAATTCAATAAAAAGTTGGCAATGCGGAACGAAAAATGTTATTCAATTATTTTGGAAAATATAAAATATTACTTTTTTTTTCTACTGATGTGCTAATTGCTAAAAATTCTTTTTTTTTAACAGTACACCAGCTGGGAGGGAAATCCGGGATATCAGAATCAGCAGCAGATTGGACGCGCCGTGGGCGATCACTTCTTCACCTGCCCAACCAACGAGTACGCCCAGGCCCTGGCGGAGCGAGGCGCCTCCGTGCACTACTACTATTTCACACACGTGAGTACACTCGGAACGGGGGGGGGGAGCTTCACTGTATTCACAGGCCGCAGACTGAACCGGCTTCATGGTTGCACGGCCTGTCGGCCATTAAATATTTCTCAGGCTTTGACACATAAGATGGCGTTGAAGCGCGTGCGTCCAATCGAAATGCGGTCAAATGGGGCGCAATTGACGTAAGGTGGATGGGAAAAAAAAAATCAGAAAAGAACTGCAATTTGTTTGTCATTAAAATTGCATACAAGGTTAATGGCTGAAGAGCAGCACTCTGGGAACTCTCTGGGTGTGCATCATCAGCAGAAGCCGCACTGACTGCGGGAAATGACACCGCGACTGTGTAATCCTTAATTATTAATGTCCGACTGATGGCGAGGCGTTGGCAAAGCCGGCCCGTAATGACGGAAAGTATAGGGGCGGTCTGATGGCAGAGCCAGCGGCTAATCTGCAGAACAAAAAGTGAAAGTTTGCTACCCAGAATGAGGTCAAGAGCAGGGCATAGTTGATGGCTTTTGGCCAAGAATAGCTTAAACTTGATGGAATGTCCGTGTTATTTCATTTTCAGTTTATTATGCGGGAAGACAAAAGTTCCTAGAACGTTCCAATACCTGAAAGTAAAGGCTAAAGTTGAGATAATAAACAATCGTTGGTTAATTAACAAAAAAGTTGGTAGAGTTAAACACGTAATAGTGCAATAAATGTGGTTTCATTTAATGCTTATTTAATAAAGTCTAAAATTGTTACAAATTGTGGCTACCATTTAATATACGTAACATTTTTAATGACAGTCATTTTAATACCCAAATGATTCTACGGCTATCTGACATCTGGCATATAATTTTCATGATTAAAAAATGAGCGTCCAGTGCAATTCCAGTTGGCATGTCCTGCATGTCCTGACCATGTGTAGTTTTTCAATTAATCAAGCCATTTGCTGAAGACAGGCAGAACGTGTGCAATCCATTTGATTGGACTTCATAATGTCACACCTCTGAGGGCAAGGGTCGCTGTTGTCGATGTCGCACTCTGTTGTCTTTGTTGGCGCTGCTTTTTTTATTGTAGAGCTGGCAGGCAGGCAACCTTGGCCGTCATAATTATGGTAACCAAAAGTTTCACGCAACTCACACCCCCACGACAGTGAAGAACCCTCCCACAGACACACGAACACACACACGACTCGCCCCTTGTTGGGCACCAATTAAACTACACGCACTGCCTGGCAGTCAGCTCAGGAGGTTGTCGGTCGGGTTGTTGGTTGTCGGTTGTTGGTTGTTGGTTGGCTGCGGGCAGACACAACACAAGTATGGGAATGGGAACAGGACCTGGCAATCGTTACTGGATCACGACCAAAGAAACGACTGAAGCAGGAGGCAAGACAGCTGAAGGAGCTAAAGGACCTGGCAGAGGGTACCGGAGGCCACTAATGAAACTTCAATTTACGAGGTCACGGCCCGCATGCCCCGCACGTGTGGGGCATAATTTCAGTCAGTTATTTGTTTAAACGACTTTGGCTACAGCTACTGCTGCTATTGCTGCTGCTGCCGATTGATATCGGCTGGTTGCAGGCCAAGTTGGATCGGCCTAATGATTAACAAATACGCAGCTCGCACATTGCGTATACGCCTCGTGGACTGTACAGTATTGATTTTTGTGTGTTGGGGGACTAGGATTCCTTGAAACCATACATATATGCTAATAGCTTCCAATTTCAGTCGATATTGACTGATGATAAGTGGTAATTCGGTTGAACAAATCACCGTGGAATGCATATCGAAATATTACGTATACGCAGTGTGACGGAAAGACATAAATTTTCTGCTAATAAAGTTTTCAGTTGCTTGCGATAATTTAGACTGCGGTGCAGTATATAAATATGGTCACTGTTGAGTCCAGTTTATTGTGATAAACGAACTGTTTCTAATTGATTGCAAAACAAGCAGAGATTGTGCGTGCGGGGAGCCAGTTTTGATGCATTGTTCGTATCAAATCGCTCGTGAATAATCCGATAGCTGGATCCTGCCAAACGGCAGCAGTTGACAGGCAGAAGCTGGCCAGAAACTTCATAGGTACCGATTTAACTGGAATGGAAATAAAGGCAAATGAAATTAGTTTTAATTACACCCGTCAAGTTGCAGCAACAAAACTCGTAACTCACTTTGGCCATAAACGGGGCTACGACGGGGCGACGAAGCATGGCAAATGGGGTCGCCAGCTGCTAAAGTGCCTGCCAGATTGTCTATCTGCTTTGCTGCCTGGCTGCCAGGCTGGTTGTGCCCGGTGCCCCCTAGCAGCCAGTGGCCACATGCTTGACTGACCAGCCCACTCCTGCTCCTACTACTGTTCCTGTTTCTGCTCCTGCTGCTTATTTTTTTCATTCTCTGCTGACTACTGCAGCGTGCAACGTGCCTGGCACTTAAATAAGTTTTCTCTACTCCCTAATTCCCCGCCCCGACACTCCTCTGTACTTTACGGCACTCCACTCCACTCCACTGGATCTCAACTCAACTCGACTCGACCGTGGCGTTTCTCATTATGACCTCCGAGTCTAAGTTTCTCTGCTGTTTGCAATTTTTCGCTTAAATCAAAAAAGTTTAGCTTCATGCTATGGCTGCGTAAAATTTTTCATTATTTGCACGAAAAGGCGCAGGGACTGCAGGACGATTATGTATGTTTGTACATTTTATGTGTAGGTACGTGTATGTATGTATGTATTTATACGGGGACGTGTATCCTGACAGCCAACGGCCAAGTCGCATAAATTTCCAACGACTTGGCAGCAGGAGCGGGAACAGAAGCCCCGCATTACCAGAATTACCCTTGGCATATCCCGGACACTATTCATTATGCGACTTGGCACTTGGCTGCCAGCCTGTCAAGGTGCAGCTCAATCCGGGAACCCGACTGCGGCCACCCTAAGTTGAACGGTTAAGTGGTCAGACCGATGCCTTCTGCTCTCCCCAGTTACCGGTCTAGGCTTCGGACCTTCGGAATTTCGAGGTAGGATTCCCTTTTGGCTTAGCATGAGATTGCATTTTACAAAGCTGATTGCTTAATTAGCATTTTGGCTATAGTTGCCGGCTGTATCTGATAGGATGATAGGTACTTAGCTTTCTCTTAGCTTCTACCTTTAACTAAAAAATTGTTAGGCTAACAAAACTTTTCATGTGGCCTTTACATTTTCAGAGAACAAAATAATTATTTTTTAAGTTAGACTACGCTGAAGCAAACCGACAACGCTTGACATTTTTTTAATAATGTAAAGTATCTCCATAAAACTATAAAAAAACTTTACATTACGTATACGAACTGCTGGCTCTACCTGTTATCCGAACTAATTTGCAAATTCAATTAAAATTTTTTGCTATTTGATAAGAAAATTACAAACTTTTTCCAAGGGGTACCCCCCCAAAATTTTTGGGTTTTCCTAATTTTCACACTTTTGCTCCTTCCGGTAGCCATAGTTCTGCCAAATCGTATCCGAGCAGGAAATAAAGTACCATTTTGTAATCAGAGAACTCCGAAGTGGCAATCCTTATTTAAAACATGGCTTAAATATCGTTTTGAAATTTTTCGATTTTTATCCAAGGGGTACCCCACAAAATTGTGGGATTTTCTCATTTTCCCACTTTTGCTCCTTCCGGTAGCCATAGTTCTGCCAAATCGTATCCGATCAGGAAATAAAGTACCATTTTGTAATCAGCGAACTCAGAAGTGACTTTCCTTATTTCAATCATGGCTTAAATATCGTTCCGTAATTTTTCGAATTTTTTCCAAGTTGAAGGAATTAAACCTAGCTTACTAAAATTTTCTGAAGAAATTTTTTCACTTCCATAAAAAAATTGAGTCGTTTTGCTTACTGCATTTAAAATCCACCAGGCGTAAACTTTTTGTGGATTTTGTGTAAAGCGACTTGCACTGCGGACAAAGGCGTCCGCACAACTGGTCGTATACGCAATGCCGTGCACTCACATGCACGTATCCGCATCCCCCAGATGCAGATGCAGTTGCAGCGAAAAATGCTGTAAGATAGTACGTGAAAACGACGCCACACGAGACCATTTAATGCCGCTCAGCCTGTCAAGGGCGACTGAGTTTGGGGCCGTATGCTGACTGGCAGCCGGCGGCAGGCATTTATTTATTTATTCATTCGATTTTTCTTCGCCGCTCCAGTACGCGGCATGCTGCGACAATATTTACAATTTACAGGGAACGCGAGCCAGCCGGCGAGCAGGCGAGCAAAATCAAATAAATAAATAAAAAGGGTAGATGTTTATCTGCATAATTTCTGGCTGAGTTTACGACAGCTTCGAGGCCCAAACTGGGTAACCGAATGGCGGGCTGGTGGGCTGTTGAAGTGGTGGACCCACACAGGCTTAAACCCAATTTTTCTCCTTTTTTTTGGTCCTTTCAGCGCACAAGCACTTCGTTGTGGGGCGAATGGATGGGCGTGCTGCACGGCGATGAGATTGAGTACTTCTTCGGCCAGCCGCTAAACAACTCCCTGCAGTATCGGCCTGTGGAGCGAGAGCTGGGCAAGCGTATGCTCAGTTCGGTCATCGAGTTCGCCAAGACGGGGTGAGAATTTTTTTGCTAAGAGCTTTTCACCACGAAATCAGACAAAACATGGCTGGTTTTATGGAAACTCAAGCTTAGTCCACAACCACTTGCTATAAAAAAAGCTTTGCCTTATTTGATTAAGTTTAGATTACTTATATATTTTTTACTTTATACAGCAATCCAGCTCAGGATGGCGAGGAATGGCCCAACTTCTCGAAGGAGGATCCGGTCTATTACATATTCAGCACAGACGATAAGATCGAGAAACTAGCTCGAGGTCCTTTGGCGGCCCGCTGCTCCTTCTGGAACGATTACTTGCCGAAAGTCAGGAGTTGGGCAGGTGAGTAGAGACCCTACCAATAAAAATAAAATTAAATAGATTGCTTGACACACTCCGAGCCAATAGTGAATGAAAGTACAGTCATCTTTGGAGGTTTTCGTTTTAGTTTTGTATTTTTTTCTGTGTTCTTTGTGTTGTGTCGTTTTCATTTGTGTGTAAGTTTGGTATACAATTAACATAAATTTTGTATTCGCTACGATATATCGTAAAAAGTGGCATTAAGCTCGCTAATGGTTGTCGGCATCATTCGAACCACACCTCAAGACGAGCCGGGATTGGGGTTCCTCACAGCCGTAGTTCGGGTTCAGGCTGGTCAAGCGAAACATATGAGTCCAAAGTGGATTATTCACTCAATCAATGTAGGTACAGGTGATAGTCGGGCCAGAAAACGGGAATTCTGGGGCTAACCTACCTCAATACTTTCTTTCGGGAATCTTTGTTCAAAGAGCAAGTGTCAATTATCAATCGGGGATTAATGGATCTAAAATGATTGATGATGGTAAGGTATGGAAGAAGCATTTCTTCCTCAGAATGATGGAAATTTGAGTAGATCTTTTACACAATCATGCCCTTTACCTCCTTTTACCTTTAAGTGTCAATCGTCGTGAGTCAGAACCTATGACTCGTCAGTTTTGGTGAAAGATTTTATAGTTATGCTTTTTAATTTATTTCATTTATGCGAAGCAGCATTCGCCGCCGACCGCGGTTTTTATTTATGGCTCTGTCAGCTTTTCAAAATGTGCGCATCAATCAGGGAAATGAGTTGCGAGACAGATCGGACGACTGACCGAGAAAAGAAATGTGAATATGCATATACCTGGCCCTGACAATGATCAATGACGAGCCCCATAAAAATCGAATATATCTATATGTATTATAGTTTAAATTGTGAGTCGGTGGGCGGACGATTTTTATGCCTTTGCACTTAAATTGTAAAAGTCTTTTGGCCATTAATGCGAGTGGTCCAGTTTATGGCTTCTTTGGATTTCATTTTATTTGTATTTTTTTTTTGGGTGAAAGATCACAATCGCAACGAACCGCGCCAGCCAGTCTGGCTTGAAAGCACCACCACAATAGCACCGCCAGCGAAACCACCGAGAGCGATGAGTGGCTCCCTCGGAGACACAAAAGAAAATTACTGTCTCACAAATTAATAAAAACTTAATTTATGCTAATTTGGCCTGTTGGAGTGGCCCAACGTTGCCGTTGTTGTTGGTGATTTTAGGAGCTAATTTTGGTTTTACATAAATCCAATCCGATTGATCCAGCGAACGGGTATGCAAATTAGGCGGGGGAAACGAACCCGCAGGGTCCGGGGGGATAGCGGGTGGTGCAGCCTCTTACTTCGAATATCTCCCCAATCGATCATTCGACGACTTTTGGATATGACAAGCTCCACTTTTGATTTGGTTGCTTTGGTAAAAGTTGCCACTTAGCACCCGAAGATATCTTCCCGTTTTCACCCCCAGCCCAATACATAGATATGTATATAAAAAGGAAACCATTAAAATCTAACCACAAACCCGAAACCACTAGTCCAACAAACCACCAAAGCAACAGCCATCCAACTTCGACCGGTTCTGGTTTTTGGCAAATTAATTAATTTGCATTTGTATATGTAGCGGTTTATTCTTTTTGGCCACATCGCTTGCCAACAATGCTTCCCATTTGCCTTAATGGCCATTTAAAATTTCACCCAAAAGCAAAGCGACGATCGCCGATCTAGTTTGTATTAATCTTATACAATGGGAACGGGAACTGGTCGTTGGTAGCCAAGCAACCAACCTACCAACCAACCAAGCAAACCAGCGGGTCGTCCTGCTATCTTCTCGTTTATCTGGTGGTGCGGTTGCCGATCCACCAGACGGACTGGCACCGCCGGAGTAAGGCGAGAAATGTCACCAACCGCGATAAATAAGCGATCGTAGTGTCATAACTCAGGCGCACGCGTGCACGGCCCGAGATACAGATACAATATAAACAGGCCGCCTCTAGATACAAAATAAAATTTAAATTATAAAAAAAATTAAAAAAAAACAAAAACACACAATATTTACAATATATCGTTTGCATTTGTATGGCCTTTTCTCTTTCTTTGGTGATTTTTGTGGTCGTGGTCGCGGTCGTGATGGTGATGGTGGTTGCGGTTCGTTTCGTTTTTTGGCTTTTAGCGACACGTGTTTCAAATGTTCGCCGTGTGTTTAATTTGTATTTAGTTTTTGTTGCGGCTTGTGCCAATTTATTTCTTTATTATCTGAGCGTATAATCTATGGTTTGGTCAGCCTTTTAAATTCAAATTAGCAACCTGAAATGCACGCGACTGATCGTGAATCAAGAAATATGAACAATTCGGAATATTATATGTGCGATTGATGATTCAGCAAGCCCGGCTTGCTGAAGATTGATTTCGAAATATATGGCTTTTTTTGAAATTGTTTGTAACTTGCACACTTGCACTTGATTTTTGATTCTCTGTTTAATTTTTTTTGCCGTCTGCAAGAGGGATTATACAAAGTATTGTGCCATAAATTAAGCGGTTGAGCAAGTTATCCCTGCCGATCAGCTTTTATTTATTTATTTTTTGTTTATTGGGAGTGTTGGAGCCTGGTTTTGGTGGGATAAGATCCGATCACCGGCCTGGCCATTTGAAGAAGGCTGGTTGTGGCCAAACAACTTTCAAATGAGTTAGCACGCGATTTTTGACTGAATCGATGTTTGCATAAAAATATAAAAAATTATGATAATGCAAAGCAGGCCATGTGGGAGTTTTGTTGGTCAAGGTAAGTGCGTGTGAAATTCTCCCTAAGTTCTTTTCGTTCCCAATGCACCGCAACTCGCACCAAAACCAAATGCTTTCTTGCTTTTCTTTTCGTGTCAGTATGATTTTCCTCAACTTTTTTTCAAACGGCTTTGTGTGATGGCTTTCCGAACCAATAGCAATGCAGTAGTGATCTCAATCGAAAAGAAATCCATTCTATTACCCTTTACGTAGGACTCAAGTACAAGCCGTGAAGAACCGCCCACACATACATGAACATTCATTAATCATTTGCCTTCCATCAAGGGGATACTAATTTGAATTCCTTTTTTTCTTCAGGAACTGGCTGCGATGGAAACTCGGGAAGTGCTTCCACAACCCCCCGACTGCCGATCCTAGGAATCGCCATCCTGCTCTACATCTGCGCTGCATTGCAAACCAAGGGGGTTTTCTAAAAGAAGACCACGCCTGGTCGAATCAACACACAATAGGAAACATTTAAATACGAAACCCAGAAACATCAATGCCACAGCAACACACACTTAAAATTAGAACACTTATAATAATAAAATTTAGCAAACTGACGGAGGACAAGATTTTTATGTATGTAGGCACAGAAGTATGTATGAGTATCAGAAGGCGATTTGTTTACGGAATTTAGTAGGATCGGTTATAGAGCAAGTCGATGGCAATTGCTGAAAATTTGTAAATTGAACTTAGAGCTCTATGCACCCCAAGGAGTCGGTAGACCCCAGTGACCACTGTAGCCAGAAGCCACGAGCCAGAGGCTGGGCCCAAACCCAATTGTTTTGTCTAGCACGATGCTAAATTGCTTAGTTCGAAGAATATTGGCCAAAATATGGGCACGCAAATGAGCGCAATTTTTGATAAATAATTAGAAGAAAAAAAACTTTTGTCTTGCCCTTTTCTGAGGGCTGCCAAAAACGAAACAATGTTTACAGATACGTGTTTAACGACGAATTGAAAACTCGCTCAGATGACGAAGACAGATGTTTTTTGCCACGCCCACATTCCTGAGCGATCTTTGAGCGCATTTAATGGCACAATTTTAGCCCTTAGTTTGGAAAAAGTCCTTATTGCCTAACGATATTTGGCCAAATTGCATTGGTTTCATACTTAGGTTGAGGGTCCGTTTAATTTCGATTTCTTACTTTCCCAAGGAAAAAACACAATACAAACACATTTTAACCACACAAGATTCTTATGAGAAAACCTAGATGGACATTTTTGGAAAAAAAAATCAACAATTGTATTGTACAAAAAATTGGCATTGGTTTATTAGAATGAAAAGAAAACAACCAAATAAAAAAAAAAGGAAAAATTAAATAAAGATGAGTAAATGTAACCCCAAATTAAGCACAACCCAAAGGAAATTTTTTCAAACAAAATTAATGAAGCAAATGATGAATTTGTAATCGATCGAGAATAGAAATTTAGTTTGGGGCGAGGGCGACGATGATATTTATAATGCAAAACATATCAGTATATTATATATATACATATACATACAAAAAACAAAAAATATATATACAGATTATTGTATTTGTACTAAACGTTTTACAAATTGGCTTAGTGAGACCCTAGAGGGGAGAAAAATGAAATGATTTGAATACTGAATAATGGTAATAAGAAATTTTATACACATAGTAAAATTGGATCAATGATTAAACACAAAATGTATTGTATAATGAGTAACGTATATGTACTTGGTATGTCTATATCTATAAATAAATATTGTTCAAAAAGTAAATTGTAATAAAATGAGAGATAATGATTATTGTCAAACCCTAGAGTTCAGTGTGTGTCGCAGACTATATGAGAGCTAATGAGTAATCTTAATTGTAATCAGTAATCGTAATCGTAATCTGTAATCGTATTAAAGGCATATCAATATGTATTAACTATGGAAATCGAAAACTTTTCGAAATTTACTAAGGTAAGCCACACTGATATTAATTAAGTTATTTTTATCAACATTTATATAATACTACACACTATCTGATAATACATAGATCCCAAAACCAAGTATTAGACTTATAAAGAACAACAACATTCACTGTTTGCTAAAATTTGAAACGTTTTAAAACCAAACCAATAAACGATAACGATGAGAAAAAACCTTAAAATCTAACAACTAAAAATCGAAAAAATCTATAAACCTATAAATCCAAAGCCCCAAGATTCCAATTAATAAAAAATAATTATTGTATTGTATTAGGTATGAACTGTGGTCGAAGTCTAATTGAGCGATGTTCGCTTCACAACTGTAGCAACTAGGAAATTAATGAGAATCTCTAGCCAGATGCGAATTCACTTAGGACACTGTACGTCGATTGGAGTTCAATGCAATTCGATTCTGTTATATCTGATATCCGATACTACTCGTACTCAACACCAACGCAAGCAACGATAGCATGTCACTTACTTAAACTCCCCCAATAATTATAATAAGTATTCCACTGCACGCAATTAACGAATAGTTCTGCAATTAAAAGGAAGGGGAACAAAGCTGAACAATTGCAGGCAGATCCACAATGCATTCCTAAGTTACAATTTACTTTAGAAACTTCGAAAAAGGGATTCAATTGACAACTTATATCGAATAATTAACGGGACACATGGCACTGCATGTCACGATATAATAAAGCATAGAAGAGAACGATTTTTTAAGTATATGTGGAACATTTATATTTTTATACCATACAAGAAGCGAAAAGAAGAATAAAATTGAAATTGCATTAAAAAAAGATATTAAAAATATGATGAATAATTAAAAATTTTTTACTATACCATTGTCTAAAACTGTGTGACACTATAAAGTGTAAAAGAAACAACAAGATAACTAGCTTTAACCCCTATCCCGCGGTCAACTCCGCTCCCCTATAATTGCACCATGTTCGCCTCTAAATACTAAAAACAAAAATACTTTAACATAAAATGAAAAGAAACTGAGTAATGAAAAAACAAATTCTAAGACTAGACTTTAATAGTTAATCCATTCTGTAGAGGCGAGTGGGCCAAAGCTTGTGCTGTCTGTGCCAGTGCCACCTACACTTGGCCGGCCTCCATGGTCAGGTGTGGGGCGGTGGCTTAATCCTGGACAGGACTCACTTTGGCACCACTCAGAGCATGCATAGATTTAATGAACATTAAGGAGAAGATACATGAATTTAGTGTGTACTACGCCTTCTGCCTTTGACAAATGCAACTGGTAAATGGTAGACGATAGACGAAATTTTTGAATGCAAGTATTCATTCTATGACTTTGTTGTCACAATTGTAAAGTGCATTTTTCCATTGTTTTCGTCTCACCCAAAAGTTAGGAATATTTTTTTGTCATTTTGCATGGTTTTCGGCTCAAGCCAAAGAATTGACAATATAATATTTCGCCTTAGAAGCAAAATAGCAAACGAATGAAAGACAAATTCCAAGTGTTATGCTTATAGATCTAAATTTTTATACATGGACATGGACACTTTGCCGTCTCATTTTTTAGGTGAACGTGCACTAATCGCTATTCGTATGATTTGTACAGTATTTAATTGCGTTCGTTTGCGGTTCTTCCAGGTCATCTTTTGAAGTATCTACATATATTTATGAAATAGAAGAAGGGCAGCCCCTCACCACCACCACACATCTATACACACGCACCAAACTCGCACCCACATCGACATCGGTCCACACAAACCCTACAAATTTCAGTGTGCTTTTGCTGTAGTAGTCTGCCAATTGTAAAAGAATTTATATATAAACGAAAAGAAACAAACACGCATATTCTAATCAATGATAATAATAAAAGCATGCTGGTCACACTTACACCCCCAAGCCACACTCGTGCACACACATGGCCACACTTCACGGAAGGACATGGAAACGTAGGTATGAGCAGAATCCTTAGACGGTTAGCGGTTATTGTGTTTGCGTTTTGTAAAGACACTCAGAAATAAGCAGAATCTAAATGAGGAATATTAAAACAAAAAATAGTTCAAGTTTTTGTTTATTGTGTATTAAAAAAAAGTTAAAAATTATATCAGCTACGACATCTGATAATAAAATCGAAATCTAGGCGGTAGACAAAACTCTCTGTAAAATGTAATAAATATGTTGATTGCTATACTATACAGTATCAAAAAATACCCATTAAACCACATACACCAACATACCATCACACACACACACTGAATCCGAAGGAATAATAATATTTATTACAATAAACTACAACCAATAATAAATAAATAAAAAAATAGTAAAAAGGCACAGAAACGCATTTGAAACCAAATAAATTCTTAAATTTAGTAATAAATTCCGGAGTTAGAGAAGAACCGTACGGGATGATTAGTAAACTAAAATACAGAGTCTTTTATGTATAAAAATCAAATACATATCAATATATGGCCTATTGTTTATTTAGTTTAATTATATATTATGGATAACAGACAAAGTGACACACTTGAGAGCAGCAGGTGTGCAGTAAGGCTCTGATTTATGACTTTTTAAGTAGGCAATTTGTATAAATTAAGCAGCAAGCAAACACAATACAAGCAAATGAAACCAAAATGGAAAAAAAAATGGAAACAAAAACCAAACCAGAGAACGGAAAACAAAACAAATTGTGGTTAAATATGTGTTCTTACTTGTTAGTGGTAATAAAACAAAGGTAAAAGTAAAACAAACAAATTAAGTAAACAAAACTGTAATTATAACTGTTAGCTTCTAATCATGCCAAGCATTTTGCGTTTATTTCCCCCATTTTGTTACAAACTATGAAACACCACACTTGGATTTTCAATTGGAACACACGGATTAGCTTCTGTAGCAACCTATACTTACTTATGTATGTAAGGTGTAGTTTCCCCATATCTACAAAACTAAAAGCCCCAAACACCATCGCCCACATAGTCAAAGGCCTGTTCGAGAAGTGTGTAATGTTTAGCTGCGAAACTACTTAATAGTAACGCGTCTAATGGCTAACAAACACTCGGACAAGGCATCACTAATTCAAATAAAGTTAAAAGGTAGCTAAAAATAACAAATAAGATAACTTTTGTTCGGGCAAAAGAGCAAAAGTCAAGAGCAGATCGAAAATTAATAAATCGAGACTCATAAAAATAAATAAATTCGTGGAATATAAAACTTAAGATACAGATACAGACAAAAACAGACACATTGAAAAATCTGAAACAAAGCTAGTACAATGGCAGCTCCAAATCAGCATCTTCTGTTCTGAATTTGAATATCGTTTCCGATGGCGAAACACTAGTGTTCAGCAAAATAATAAAACAGATACCGATGATAACCAAAGCCATAGCAGCTAATTCTATTAAATGTATATGACGGGACGGGCGTTCTCGGTGTTTGTTTGCATGTCAATAACAAAGGTGTTGTTAACGATTTAGTTATAATTATAATTATTGTCGCAGAACTTACTTTAAATTTGAAGCAGACGGTGCACAACTTGCGCAGATGGCAGATAACATATGCAAGATATAATTGCTGTTTTAAGATATTAACTATATATAAAGATATATATACAGACATACATCTAGATTGAAATAAATATGACATGAGCATACAAAATGTAGGGATCATTTTACTGAATATATATATACATACTATACTACATATAATCGAATAAAAATTCTGCTAAACCAAAACAAGAAACCAAACAAAAAACACAAAAAAAAAGCTAAATGTAATACGATTACTTAAACTCAAGAGAAAATAAGAAACTACCAAGAGAAAATGTAATGTGTAAAACAATTAAAACCAGAATTAAAAAGAAAAAGCATACACAAAGCAAAAGTTTAAGTGAAATTATACTACGAAATATATTGTATATCGATACAAGATGGATACAAGTAAAATACAAATAAAACTCATGTATCATGTACTAAACAAACAGCCAGCCGCTTTTATTTCCCGCCCCGGCAATCGATCATTTGTCATTTGTGCAAAGTTTTACACCTCTCCCCACATTTTCAGTAAGTCATCAGCATCAGCATCGGCATCGGCTTCAGGAAGCCACATAGCCGCTCCATCGAGACAACAGCATCTATCACCTCGGCTTAGTGGCTGCTAATTACAAGGCACTTTGCATTTACATTGAATCAATAAAAACTGAAATGATAAACACCAAATAAAATCGCATATTTACGGCTGACTAAGCCGAAGTGCAGAAAACTTAATTTATGAAGCACATAAATCCACAGTTCTGCCGTCGCCACTTCCGCATGCCGAGTGCAGGCCGAATTATGCAAATTAATCACGGCAAATTAAAACGAAAGGTGCCCCATAAATGCCCCCATCCCATCCCATAGTTGCCCTTACTTGCCTTCCCCCGTAGACACTTTGCTTGCCACCATTTGTCAATTTATCCTGGGTTCAGGGCTGGATTTTACAGTCGCCATTACGTTGGCCGTAATAAAATTTAAGGCAGGGGCACGACCTGGGTCTAAGCCATTGAGCATTGAGAAAAGCCTCTCGGGTACTTTGGAAAAGCGAATTGTCTATGCTCTAACATTTTATACATTCTAAAGTGAGACTCTTTATATACATATAAATTTTTTTTCTTTTTTTTATAAGTTTTGGTTTGTCATTGGAGCATCACTAAATTTTATACCATAAAGTTAGCAGAGACAATTAAATTTTTCGCACCATCTGTAAAGATCTGCCCATAGTCAGTTCAGTACTGGATTTATGACTAGTTTTAACAAGATTTTTTATATATTTTCTGTTTAAGTAATAACTCCATTTTTTATTGGTACGGGATAGAATAGAAACTGAAGCATTGGGGCTTTTGGACTAGCCTGCAGAGTCGACTGCTTTGAAAATGCAAATTAGCATTGCAGGTGGGCGGGCACTTTGTCTGAGTATTTGAGTACATAGTCATTAAGTCTGTTTATACCAGACATATCTAATAAAGTTTATGATATCTCTGTGCTTCTTCTTTTGCAGCATTTGCCAAGCTGATAACCCACCTGGCCACCTCCGCGTTTGTCTACCTGAAGAACTGGCTAATTAGTGGCTAAAAGGAAGACCCGCAAAATGACCCTTCCAAGCACTTGCACAACACTTCCTCGGAAAGCAACAAAAAGTCTGATTGAAGGATATGATAGTTAGTTTAAGGAAACGGCAACGGAGATATTAATGATAATAATAAAGAAAATATTAAAGCAACTATGGGCTGCAGGACTCGATAAAGGAACGACGAATTTAGGAATTAATCAAAGGGCTTCGAAAAGCAGTTTGAAACTCATTAGTTTTGTAAGAAATCGTAAGAGGACTAAAAACATACATATATTTAGATTCGCAGATACTTCCCCAATTATAAGAATCACTTGAATAGTTTGTTCTTTTGCTTGAAAAGCAATCACAAATACTAAATCGATATTTAAATAAAATTGTTCCACTTGATTGATGCAAACTGAAGCGATTTGTGAAGTTTGAGTATTTCCGTTCCTAGCCGGTTTCGCAAACGCCATTACTTAGTTTTAATTGATCCGCGGACAATCTCCGAGCGGAGTTAATCTGGCGATCAAATGGGTTTTGCTTACACGCGAAAGGCAGCGGGGCGGGCAGCCTTCAACCTGACATATGAATAATTTAAATTTCGCTGTATACCGAATGCTGTATACTGAATGCCGTGCTGTGGCACTATAAACCAAGCAACGCGAATCGATGAGCCATAGCCATTCGACCATCTCCGCAGACATTTTGGCAGCGTTCCTGTCCATTGACCCAGCGTGCGGCAAGAAACCCTCGTAAACCAGACAGGCCACCGATAAACCCAAGCCGCACAGTCAAGTCGCATCTTTTATTTGGCCAGATAAATGAGCCAGCGCACGGCGGAGACAACCAGTCACCACTTGTCGTAAATCTTCGGTTCGGCTTTTGTGCTTTTTGCGGGGCGCTGGCAGGAGCACACTGGCCATCTCAGCCAGCTAATTCTTCAATAGAAATAGAACCTGTTTCCAATTATCGTTTTGCATTTGGCCAAAGCTTTCGCTGGCACTGCGCCTGCCTATGGTAATTTCGGCGGGAACGTGGCTTGATGGTCCGTCTTGGTGAAACAAATTGTTAGTGTCAATTAACATATATGGGATGTGGCCAGAAGGCACTCTATTCCCAGCCGCACAGTGACGCAGGGGCAATGGTTTCTCTATCTCTGATCTAGTATAAATAGAAGGGGATTCCATCGGTTCGAAATCGTTTAAAGTCCCTAATGACATGCGCGTCGATAACCGGCCCAGCGACATAATCAATTCCAATTAAATGTTCACAGCTTTTTGTGATATGATTCCTCGGAACTCATCGCTTCGAGGTCACTGTTCCTGGGCCTGCATGGAGGTGTTGGTTGAACTCAGCTCAACCGAAACCAATTAGCAGGTGGGGTTCCATTCCCGGCCAAGAGATGCTGTCTTAAAATGATGTCAAGTCACAAAATGGAACTGCCCAGCATAGAAGAAAATACACTTGGAAAATTAAAATTAAAATGAATAGAAATAATTAATCAGAGTTTATTTTAAAAAGAGGGATACCTTAATAAATTTTTAAGACTTAGGAAAAAACTCAATTTTTGAATAAATTTTTTATTGTTTATTTTGATAATTCTTTTTTTCGGCTTAGTGTTTATAGAGTTTAATTTTATAGATAGATATATTTAACTTTTGACACCAAATGCCTTTCAATTCCGTTCTATTTTTGGCTAGAAAATTCTTTAAAATTATTAATTGACCTTTAGAGTGTATCATACCAGGTAAAAATAATTATATTCTGCCATTTATGGCCACACTAATTCGTAGGTGAATCAATGACTCGCTGTGCAAATATTGTGATTCGGGGGAAATTGTCAAACAGCGTATAATACGCCATCAGAAACAATTATGGTAATGTCTTGTGCAAATATTTTTGCATTGCCTTCGACGTAATCCAAGACCCATCGCTGACGCAGCGGGCAAAAGCCGACTTCAATGGAATTGTTTGTGTCTTAATCGGCTAGAGAAATGACCCAATTGCCTCGAAAGCTGCGCCCACACAATACGCACTTCTTGGCCAAAAGACGGCTTTGTGTATCATAAGGAAACTGAAATTGAGCACAAAACTGCACGGGCTGACTGAATGCGGAGCACACGCGTCACCCCAAGCGTGGAAGATTCATTGCCAAGTTCGTTGGCACTTCCGGAAGGTCAAAAAAACAGATAATGGCCCACCAATCTTGGCAACAATTGTGTGACTGTTTACAGAATTGGCCATGGTGCCGCTTATATAGACCAGGGTCGATCTTTTATCGGTTAGAGTCTGGTGACACCAAAATGAGTCGCTTTGGTGCCAAATATGGAGCAAATATAGCAAGCCCTGAAGCTAAACTACATCAAATTTATGTTTTAAATTTGCATTTACTAAATAAGCCTTTTCTATAGGCTTTATATTAATATTTAATTTTATTATTTTTTTATAAAATCAATCTTAAAGACGAATAAGCATGCGATACTGCGATACCCCTAAAGCGTTACGTATACGACAGGTTGGACAGGAGATGTTCTAATCTTCCTACGTTTTATATCCTACCTACACAGACACTGGAGCAGATGTCAGACCAAAATTTAAAACAACTCCTTTAATAACTTGGAAAGGGGCATTACTATTGTATTAACAATGGACTTTTAGAAAAACTTGCCTCTTCAATGTACGTTCCTGGGCGCAGTTGTCACACTTTACTAATCATTTACAAAACATTGTTTGGCAGCTGTTCAGCTGTCTGATAAATTAGGAAACTAACACACATTGTTTTCATGCGCGTGCAGAAGTTTTAGAAATTTTGTATCTTTTAGAAGCTTTGGGTAATACAAAATTCACGTGAATGTTGAAGACCATCCAGATCGGCACCGCCCGGGGTCATCCGGCGCGCTGTCTGGCGACCTACGGCACTAGATTTACGCATTTGACCAAACCGAAGGCGCAGCGTGTCGAGAACTACTACCAGGTCCTCAATGTGCCGGTGGGCTCCAGCGACCAGGAAATCAAGCGCGCCTTCATCGACCTCTCGAAAAAGTACCATCCGGATGTGAGCCGAGATACCCGGGACTCAGAGGTGTTCATGAAGATCTGTGAGGCTTATCAGACTCTCCATCGCCAACAATCGCGCCAACTTTACGACTCCCGCCTGCGGATGCAATACAAGTCAGCTGTGCCGCCGGATACAGCATTCACCGGGCGACATGTGTCCACCGTTTGGTCCCAATACCAGTCCGCTATGCGCAACAAGCAAATGGGCCGGAATGTCGTGAAGCCGCTCATCTTCAAGTCAAAGGTTCCCAGGTGCAAGTGGTTGCCGATGGAACGTAGCGCCGTGGATCTCCAATGCCCCTCCGGTTCTGGAGGGTTTGGTGAGGAGGAGGCAAGGGGGGAGGAGGAGGAGCAAACGAGCAACAATTTCCATAACCCCACCCTCTACGCCTATGTCACCGGATTGTTTGCGGTGAGCGGTCTCGTTCTCTTGGATGCAATCGGTCGATTCCGTAACAAGTCGTTGCCAGAGGGCAGCAACGCCAGAGGTTCTTTGTGAGGATGTGATGATATCCGTGGCGGCTTTCCTGTGTGCCGCTGTTCGACAGGGGGGCGGGGGGATGGTGACGCTATCATTGGCAAAAAACAAAAAACATCGACCACCCACCAGCCCGCGCCGTCGAATTGCTGGCACCTCATCCATATGCATAGGACATTGTCATTGTTGTTGTACGCCCTGGTATCGTTGGAACGAAAATATATAAATCTGCTCGTTAATTGTGTGAATCTCTCTGTGAAACTACCACTCCGTCTGGCAGGCTGATTATGCATAATTTGTCATTCCGGGCGGGCGGCAGCATAATCTCACATCAGAGATCACTTCACTCCCAATCGTGTCGTATCGGATTGGCCAAAACGGGTTTCGCGTTTCGCTACTCCTAGTTTAGTTTTTGAGCTAATTAAGAATTATGAAATTTAGCGCTTTTGCTATTTATCTTACCCTACACGAAACAAAGGTATTTAAGAACACCGATGACGTTGAAGTTTGCGATATATTTTCATTAGTTCTATCAGAAAACTTTAAACGGGTTTAGCTGGCTAGAGGAAGATTGGGAAACAGTGGTGACGTCCAAAAGCTTGTAATACACAATAATTCATGATTTTTAAGCAGGTTCTTTTTATTTGGAAATATTGTTAGTTTATGGCTCATTTGTCGGCATGATTTTAATATAATCCTATATTAAGCCTTTGAAGACTTCCGTACTTCCCCCTGTTCTGACGCAAAACCATCCACAGTAGTTCGTTGATCGTAAAATTGGTTCTATAATATTTATTTCGGTTTCTTATTAACTTGTATAGTTTATAGTGTTGTACGTTCTATTGTGTGTCCAGTTCTCATAGAAACTCCTCTCACATTTGGATTATATCTGATGCCGTATCTATTCATCGCGATCGTGATCCCGTTCGCGATCGCTGAACTTCCGCGCTTTGACCTTTTCTGAGCCAGCGGGCGATGGGGGCCCAGATAATAGATATGTTTCGGCTTAAGTATGTTCTATTATGATGCTATTAAATGGAACGTACAGTGGCAGCCGAAAGACGAAAAAATAATAAATCGGATGCTCCAAGGCGAGCGGGTCTCCAATCAGAGAGACATATACGACTTGTATATAAATATTATATTCCGCGCTTGTTTGAGACGACGGACCACCAGTGGTCAAGTGGAACCGTTAGTCAGGCAATAATAATAGTTTTGTTAATTTGACTATTGTATTCTCCCCGGGTTGTTTTGTTTTTTCCGCCTGGCAGAAATTGATAAATTATGATCCGCGCTTAGCTTTGATTAAGTTGTCGTGTAGTTCTTATATGAATTCAACGAATGTCAAGACCCTAACAAGCAGATCCCGACAGAGAGCGATGGAAGATCAAATGTGCTGATATAGTTAGGGGCAAACAGCTCCAAAATTTCCATTTCGAGTTGGCGCAAATAAAATATTCGTACCGAAGCATAAATCAATATTCGCACCGAGTATCGAACCGAACCCAATGGCGCATGCGCAGCGGAGCGGCGCGATAAAGAGCGTTAAAATTATGTTCTGTCGCCTGGCTGCGCAAAATAAATACATACAGCGATCGGGCCCATAATGAAGCCTATAAAGAGCCGGGCGAAATCAGCTCAGCAGGCGCAAAGTGAAAAAAAATCACCATCAACGCACCGAAAAAAAGATCATAAAAAATGGTCAAAATTTATTGTACGCTGACGGCTTTTTAATGAAAAACGCTGGCTACCAAAGCGAATTAATGAAGGTGTGTGCGCATATATCCCAGTTTCAGTTTCAGGCCCCAGCGTCCTCCTACCCCCCACATTATATTCCTCCATTTCTGTGCCGGCACAAGTTCAAAAAAATAATAAAGAAACAGCCAAAAAAGTCACACAAGCGCAGATCGCAGATCGATCAGCATATGAATTGATTTAGCATAAGAATGAAAACGTTTCTCTAATGAAAATTGTTTATGGTTTTACGATCCCCTCGTTCATTCATGCAAACACGTGTTGGTCTTGGCTTATTGACTTATTTTCAATCTTTTTTTCGGAACAAACAACTTGGAGGTATGTATGGAGGAACTCCCAGCTCCCAACGGCTCCCATTATCATTCTGGTTTCGATTCCCATTCCAATTCCGATTCCGCAATTTGTTAATGGAGCTCTGGCCGTTCGCAACTTCATTGTAAACGCAATCGGTATGACATTTTAATTATGCGGCTGTCAAATCGCCTGTCGCCCAGACTGGCTGGCGGCCAGGTTTCAATTGCAATTAATAATATTTTAATAATAGTCGTTGGCATCGACCGAGCCCCGTCAAGTTCGAAATTGAAATGTTATGGAAATGTTTTGTCATCCATGTGAGCGGAGAAATGAAGATGAGCTTGAAAAAGGGGTTAGGATCCCGCTCGCCCATATCGGCGACAATAAAGTTGTATAACTTATCGTCCGCATCAGTTGATGAACCCTCATTTTTCTTCACCGATTTTTGTATTTTGCCCAAACAAATGTTGATCATTTGTTAAAAGGGGGACGACGACTGGCAGTTTGTTGGAAGAAGATTTATGGCAGCGGAAGCAATCGCACCTCGACAACAAGGATGCGCCAATCCACTTGACACCTGCATTGCCAAGTGGCGCAACAATATCAACAACAATATCACTATTCTATAGTATTAATATCAATGATAGTTGCACTGTCAGTGCCAGGCATATAGTTATGAGTACCTGAAGGCGTCTGGCAAATGTCAATTGGCTGGAGGTGCTCATATTCGCAAACTTAGATACGAGTGGTTCCGCAAATCAATCGCAGCGCTCAGATAAACAAACTGCGGGCAGGTGACTGATTAGAGAAATTATCAGCGACCTTGCTGCCGATTCTATGTTGAAACATTTGTTGAACAAATGGAAAACTTGTGTTCGGATCTTGCCGATGACCTTATTGGCGGCATTCTAACTTTCTAATCGAGTGTTGGGCAATTGTTTTTGGCTTTTGGATTTGGATTCCTTGCCAGCATATTCAATATTCATTAGCCAAATTTGGCATTCAATTTATTCAGCCTGTGCCGGCGTCTTATATTACTTTCTTTATCTAAGCGAATAAAATTTAAAAATATATATTAAGTAGGCACGCGGTCCGCGGAGAAACTCGTTTGTGTCAAAACATACAAATGTTGTCTATTTTTGAACCGTCGAATGCTATAAACTTTAGTCCAAATTTATTTTTAAATTTTATTTATCTCCAACTTGTGGGGATTCTTTTTCTTCTCTTTCAAACTATCTGTTACTCTGCCTTCAAAACATATTTATAACAAGCATAATCATACTTTTTCTTAAAACTCCTTAATGACGTGGCTTAACGGCTATTCAATGACCATTTTACAATCAATTCGAATCAATAATTGATTCTCTTTCCTTGCATCGATTTCGAATAACTGGGTCGAATGAATCACTAAATGTGAGCCGATGACTTTTAAAAATGAATATGCATCCGCTGTGATGTCAGTGGAAAGTGGAGTCTCGACAGCTTCCGACTTGTGACAAGTTTAAAGAATGGAAAATGAAATAAAGAACGAAACGCGTTGGTTTTGGTGGGTGGGAACCATCCATGTCCATCCACCAAATGGACAGCACACGCGCTTCGCACACAAAGGCATTAAATTGAGTCATAAAACCGCACAAAGGCAAATCGCAGGAACAACTACTACACAACGTCGGGCAGATGATGCCAGAAGTGCTATTAAATCGAGTTAAATGAGGTGTTGGGAATTTTTTACTTTGCTCAACATGCGCATGATTGTACGCAGGTCGGAACGATCGATCGCCGGTTTCACCCATACAGGCACCCGATCGGACTTATTGAAATGCAAACACCGCCGAATCGAAGGCCAATAATGTTTGTTTAAATTTCAACTGCATATGTATTGCTTCAGCTCAAATAAAATCACACCCAAGTGGATGGTCAAGTAGGAAATGTAAACTACCTACAACCGAGGAGCAAAAAAATAAACATAAAAGACTTGGGAGGGGAACATCGACAACCTGAGGAGCAACAGCAAAGAGGAACATCAAAGAACATGTATCGGGCATATGTTTATTTCATATTTCTGTAAAGCATAATTTTTAATATTTATGTAGTTTTCGTGAAATAAAATAAATCAGCAGAGCAGCAGAGACGTCACTGCCGTTGCCCGATCACTGATCACTTACCCCGATCCGATCGTTGGATATTTTAACCTTTTTTTGCTTTTGTTGTTGGTTACTGGTTACTGGTCTCCGGTCCCAGGGATTGGCAACCAAAACTGCAACCGGGATTGGGCCTGAATCTGAGACCCAGATTGGGGCCCTCACCCAAAGCGTCATGTGTGGCATCAACATGGTCAGTGGCATGGTCCGCGGCCCTAAAACGAGGTGAAATAACCAGAACCAGTTAGCTGATGTAGCCACACTTGACGAAAAATATGTTAAGGAAAGGAAATATATCTTTGAAATAAGAATCTAAACTTCAAAATAACTATCACAGCGTTTGCTTTTGTATTTTCGGGTCTTGACTGGAGCCACTTCCTTATAGACAAGGTATTATTTCATCAGTTTTTTCAACTATTCAGTCATATATTCCTTGAATGAACACAGTAGTTGAAAGTGCTAATCAGTGTTTGTGATGCGTCAGGCTAAGTAGTATGACAAACAGTCGCAGCTAATGCTCTGAAGTGTTATTAGAGAATCAATAAACATTTTCTTTCAGTGCCAGCGCCGGGAATAAGGCGAATCTGACGATGCTGGGCCGGCGCAACCGTTTGTACTTGTTAATGGCTTTGTACGCGTAATTATTTTGGCAAGAAGCCAGGGCAAAGCGGAAACGCGAAAGGCTCAGAGCGGCCGGCAGAGAGCTGAGCGCCAAAAAGCCGAAAGCGAAAAGCGAACAGGGCCAGATGTGAATGTCCCACTGACTAGCAATGGGCTGTCCGGTGAAAGGATCAAGTGGCATTTGTTCTTGTGCGCCGGGCTGTGCATTTAATTGGGTGTTTTTATTGGTTTTTAATGATACGCGAAATGATCGAAGCCGATGTGGCAGTCGAAGCCTCGACTCCTGCCCTCAGGGCACCTGCTGCTGCTGATGCTGCTTCTTGGGCTGCTGTTTTCCCAGCAAAACCCAGTTCGCTGCCACGCCCACCGCTAAAGCAAGTGATTGTTGCCGAACCAGCAGGGTGATTAATATAAAGTTCAATCTTCAATTACGCCGGCCAAAGAACGCAAAAGTTTCCCCAATTTCGATCGATGGCAACATGTTGCTGATACAGCAGCAACTCGGCAACATGTTGCTACTGCTACTGCGGCTGCGCGGCTGATTTCTACGGCTCTCTTACCTTGCTCTCCTCCCAAGACCGCCGTCAACAGGTGCGAATCTTCTCCAGCGTTATCGTCTGCCGCTGCTGCTGCTGCTGCCGTTGCTGCCAGCGTCGACGTCGCTGGTGGCGGTATAAAAGCGTTGGCGCCGGCGAGCGGATAATCAAACAGGCGACGCCTTCAAGTCTAGCTGCACGTACACGAGAGTGGAGTTGGAGTCGTCGGCTTATTTCGGGGCGCTCTTTTTTTCGGTTTCTGGATAAAGGCGGCAAACAAAGCCCACCCTCAAAATTGTGATAAAAAAATTTAATTCATTTCAAGCAAAATTCAAAGCGAAAGTGTATGAAATATCAAATATAACACTGTCCTTCGAGAAAAGGTTATATTTTAAAAAATAAATAAAGTGTCCAGTGCGATAAATTAAATTTAAAAAAATTCATAACTAAAAATTATATAACCAAAATGATGCAGCCAAAAGCACTATTACTTTTCACCATCACGATCATCTCCTGCGGAGTGGCATTCGCCTGCAATGGAAAGATAATTGGTAAGTTTCCCACACCCAAGTCAGTAACATAAAATCAATATGCAGCTCAGGGATTTTTGGATGTCTAGAAAATAGAATTTGCGAGCATGCCCGGCATGCCAAAATAGTGATAATTTAGTTTTTTGGCCATTTTTCTAGTTCACCTTTTTTTTTGTGTGTGAATGGGCCACGTTTCAGCCATCTATTTGTGAATGGATACAAAAAAGTGCAAATATTATTAGCCAGTAACATTTTTTGTTTAATCGGTGTACCAATGGCGGTTTTTTGCGAGGGGAGCTCGAGAACTTTTGCGCTAATTGGGGAATATGTAAATGCTTTTTTATGGGCCAGTTTGGCAGGTCCGGACAAAAATAGACACAAAATCGAACACGAGTCACCTTTCTTCATTTTCCAGTTTTAAACAGTATGTATTGCATAATGAATAGTTTAGAAAAGCAACAAACACGGGCGGCATATTACTTAAGACACGGCCGGGGAGGAAACCGGTTCAAATATCGGGTTTATATAATTTATATAATATTTTAAATCAAATTGCCCAAATGAATTGAAAGTATTTTAGGTGGCTGACCTGTCAACTGTCGGCTAAGCCAGCCAAAGGCCACTCAACTTAAGATCAGATCAAAGCCAATCGAATGGGATGAGATCAGAGCAGATCGGAGCCTTGTAGAAGAACCCTTGAAACCGATTAGAGAGCTAAGCGGGGAGAATCAGGCGAAGCCAAAGCCAAAGAGCTCACTGAACTGTTGTACTGATTTTGGTATTTTAATTGCTCCGGCCCAGCCGACAGGCGGCAGTTAAAATTTGTAAACAAATTAACAGATCAGGCGTCACAAATGCGCTTGCAAAATTATACAAAACACTCAAAATTAATGGGTCATTGTGCTGATCGAGCCACGCTTGTGCGGTTTGGGAATAGAAATAGCTGGAAATGACCACAAACAATCGATTTAATGTTCTTTGTTCTGCACACGCGGCGCTTAAACACCCAAAAAATTCCAATTTCGCATAAAAAATAAGAGTCGAATAAAAGACAAAACAGATTTTTATAGTGCGCGTGTGCGTTGCTGATTGATGATTGCTTTTACGGGTTTGTCTTCGCGTCGCAGATATCTGCCATATTTATCGCCGATATCAGTAATGGGAAATTTCACAGATTGCCTTTCGACAAAATCGCATGTCAAAGGTATCATGGCTGTTGAGCTCAACGATTTGCCGCGGCATCAATCAAAAGCTCGCCGTGCTAATAATGTAATTAAATATGTAGATACCCCCGATCGACCCTATGCGAATGCGAAACAGGGAACGAGGCACAAGGCCTCGTAGTAGTGGTGATAATCAGTAAATGATAAATGAAAATGAAACGAAACATAAAGCATAACTATGAAAATTAACTCGCGCTAAATGCGCCAGAGATTTTTCAGCGTCTGGCAGTCCTTGTTGGGCTCTCCATGTTTCCTTTCCCCCGACCCTCGACCCCCAACCAGGCTTATTCAAGGTGAAGTCAACGCCTGGCCAAGATGCGGTGCAGTTAAGCACTTGTTAACATATTGTCGGCATTTGGCTGAGAGGTCTGGTTTCCACAACGCGTTCGTTGCTTGAGTCTTTCGTGGCGCGCATCACCAGAGTTTGCCAAGTTCGTCGCCTGAGTCTTTCGTTCCGGGGCAGCAAAACTGAATTACTGCAAGCTGTTGACGTTTCGTTGTCAACATTATCTCAACATCTCGAAGCCTCTTGGCAGCCACAACAGTTTGTTTTGTCTGCGTATGTAAATGTCGGCTCGTCCAGCGGTCCGTTGCGGAAACTGATCGACAGCTTTATGTGCAATTTGTCAGCGAAGGTAGTTCACAAATTTGCATAGCGCCCGTAGTACTGCAACCACAGCATCAATAAAAATATACAAAATGAGCCACAAAAAAAAAAGGCGGCTTTGCGGTGTGATTGATGCTCGCTGACTTAAACACACAGCTCTGGGCCTGGTTTTGGGTTCTCGCCTACCGGTTTTCGTATTGATACAAATGTAGCATAATTTGACAGCTGCGGTTGGGCTTGAGTTTTGAATTTTGACTCTTCTGCCTCGGCATCGGGTTTATCGAGCGATCGATCGATCATTGGCTATTTTTAGTGCCAGTCTCTTTCTCAGCCTTGGCTGCGTATTAAGTCTAAGCTATGGCAAATGCCGTGTTTAGGGTTCTCTCGGCTTTTGTTTGGCCGAGCATTATTGACACCCAGACCCATATTTGTGCGAGCGGCAGCGATGCGAAGCTGCCAATTTATTTACTCGTAGTCGGGGCGCGTCAAGTTGTCTGACTTTAAATCTGATTCCGACAGACACGTCGCAGCACTTGACCGGCCGGCAAAAGCCATGGTCAAAAGTCGGCACCCGAGCCGGCAGTTTGGATCTGGGAGTTTTTTCGGAGTCGGAAGCCTGGCTTAAATGTTATCACGTCTCGTTGGGCAATCAGCGCCCATCGCCCGGACTATTATTATAATTATTAAAAATTATTAAGCGTGCGTAATTATTTAAATGAATAGGGCCACGCCCCACCCCTTCAGGATCACAGGCACTTCCGTCTCGGCCCCTTTTCAAGAGCTTCACGTGCTCTTTAAACCGAGCTCCGCGTAATTAACACCCCGCGGCAATTCGGCCTAAACTGTTTCGGCCTGTTTCGGCCGTTACTGCGATCGCCTGACACACTTCAAACAAGCGTTGTGAGTCAGGCGCCAGAGGACCATGACTCGGGAATAAAAATCCGCTATGGAAAATAATCAAACAATCAAAGTCAGCTAATGGCAATCTTCTGGACTTTTAATTGACGCCTTTGAACAGCACGCGCCAGTTCGGTTTTGCATTTCATTTGGTTTTATTTTGTCATCGTTTCGTTCTGTGTTCTATTTTGATGGGCAAACATTAGGGGAACCGGTTGGTCAGGGGTTTGGCACACAGGAAAGTGACAAAATTTCTTGTGATTCGGCCAACCTGATGGTTACATAAAATGGCTAATCTCCGACAATTTGGAGCACACGTAAGTGTCGAATATTTTGTCGCTGGGCAAATAATTAAAATATGTAAAACAAAGCCCTGGACCCGGGTGGCCCATCTACATTTTCAGCCACACTTGGAGTTTCGGCAAGCAAAGCCATAGCGATTTTGATTTCGGCAAATATTAACTCAAACTCAATAAAACCGGCTTAATGGGTGGACAGAGTGGCTGGATGTGTTAGTCTCTCCATGTCAAAGGAGAAACCTCCGAAATACAAGCATTTTAATGCAAACAAAAATAGAAATGATAACATTCTCCATCCAAAACCCCATCAGCTGCGTGGCTCATGTATATTCTTTGGCTTTTGTGAGTTTCTGTGACTTTACTAATTTATGCAAATCTCGACCTAATCATTTCAGCATCGGGCATCACGGCGGAGGAAAAATCAATCATCTTGCAGGAGCACAATCGCCTCCGGCAGATCGTGGCCACCGGACGCTATCCGGGCCAGCCGGGTGCCGAGAATATGCGCGAGATTGTCTGGGACGACGAACTGGCTGCCCGGGCCCAGAAGTGGGCCGACAACTGTCAGTTCCGACACGACCCGCACCGCACGATAAGTAAGTCACCCTAGCACTCGACTCTCGGTAGTCCTGTTCCTTAGATCCTGGTCCTCTTTACCCATTCCCACGCCTGAAATCGAGGAGTTGGAACCAAGGTTCGCGCAATGCATGTGGCGTGGAACTCTTGGTTTGTGGTTTGCATGAAATGGTAACTCTCACTCGGGTGGACACTTGATTCAGAGTCTGAAACTGACTCATTGCTTGCATCAAAGCCTTTTTTATGGCTTATTTTAAATCGATTCAATAGAATTTGTGAAATACAGTTGGGAATACCGATCAGACAATGCAAATTTAATTACAAACTGAATCATTTGGAATGATTAGCCAATACTTAGTGACTAATTGTACTTTTCTTTGTGTTTAACTTGTCAAATACGAATAAGTTCAAAGTAGATACCTCTCAATGTCCACCCCAGTGCTTTCAGTTTTTAAGTTTCCTCATCTTGCTCATATTCTGCTTGCACGAACTGCTTTTAAAACACTAAAACTAACCCCAAAGCATGCCCAGCACCAGCACATCCTCACAAATATCCTACAAATACATCCCAAAAAAGAAAAATTATTAATTTATTACCTATTACCCTTAACAGATCGCTTCACGATGGGTCAGAATCTGGCCATTATCTGGAGCACGGCGCCGTTGGATGCCGATGATGGGGACTTCCCCTCGCGCATCCAGAGTTGGTTCAACGAGGTTCAGAAATACTCCTTTGGAGATGCCTGGTCCCCCAAAACTGGCCACTACTCCCAGTTGGTTTGGGGCGAGACCAGCCTGGTGGGCTGTGGATACGCAGAGTACAAGGACACCAGCAAGTACAACAAGCTCTATGTCTGCAACTATGGACCAGGGTGAGTTGAGCTTCTCTTAGGAGATACTACTTTTTAAATCCAGCAGTCAATCAAGATTCTAGCTTAAAAGTTTACCTGTCATTCAAACTCTAATAGCTTTGTTATTGACTAATAAAATAGTAAATTAATTAATCATAACTTGGTTTTAAGTTGTTTGATTATCATAATCTTTTGACAAAGTGAATTCATAAAACTTATGCTTGAATCTACCGAATTTTTAATAATTTGATTTATTTTTTTCCATTGCAGAGGCAACGTGGTCGGCTACAATCCCTACGAGGTCGGCAAGCCTTCCTGCTCAACGTACGGCATGAAGCCTTCTTCCCGCTACCAAGGACTCTGCTCCGCTCCAGGATCTTCCGCCGCCCCAGCAGCCAACAGCGTCTATGGAGCAAACACCATTGAAACGTATGAGTACGGCTACAAGAGCCAGAGCCAAACCGCAAACAATAACCAACCGCCGACTAACAACATTAACAAGAGCCAAAACAGCTACAACAACCGACAGTACAGTAATCCCAAACCCGCCTCCGCTCCCGTCCCCTCTCCCGTTTCCTCCCCCTACTACCCACAGGCAGCGGTACCAGCGGCATCGGCATTTGGCGGCAGCTCGTTTGGCAGCGCAACGCGCGGCGGCAGCCACGCCTACACAACTGAGCCGTCGCAGCGGTATCAGCACAAGCTCGAGGCGTACCGCCCCAGTGCGTCCGAGTTTGAGAAGTCCGTACACAAACACACCATTCTACGCACCTATATAGAGCAGAACCAGCAGCGGCCACAGGTGGAGCAGGAGGATCAGCAGGAGCAGGAGCAGCCTAAGCCCATCACCAGTACTAAGAAGCCCAGCCGTGGATGGAGCCTGCTGACCTGGCGCGGTTAGCCATCCAATTAAACCATCTCCAAAATGCCGCTCAATGTATTAGGCCATTAATAGCTACTGTGTAGTGCCATTAGCCAAACCCCAGGATCAATCATCATCCCTCTGCCGCCCCTGAGTCCTAGCAAAATGTTATATAAATCCTACAAAAATTGCCATATCGAGTAGTTTCGTTTCTATAAATAATATTTATGTAAATTTTGTATTTTATCTAAAAAAAACCCAACAACCATCAAAAGAAAAAAGCAGAGGCGGCAGACGATTCATGCCACAGACGAATATTTGTATCAAATGTTTGCCAACCACCAAAAAACTGTCATCCTGTTAAAAAATAACCAATCGGCATTCAACATCGATCAGCTAGTTGTAGTATTGTGTTCAATAAACAAGAATATTGATTTCTTAATGAAAAAAATATGTTTTTTTTAATGGAATGACTGTTACCAAAGATTTATGACAAAAGCTGTTTGATTTTGAGTCAAGAAATTGTGCTTTAAAGCTTCGCTTTCTGGCCAAAACAAAGAGACTTTTGTTGCCAAAAGAGTGTCGGCATGAAGAGCGCGTGCGCTGCCTCTGAACAAGACTGCTGAATGAAAGAGACTTTATATTCGAATTTACGGAGACCCAGGGGGAAAATCGCCACAACTTCCACATGAACTAATGCGTTAAATGCACCAGAGCCGACGCACAATTAAAGCCGGAAATAAAAAGAGCAAGTGAGTGGAGCGAAGCAACAATTGTGGTAATAATGGGCTAATCAGCCACAAATGTATCGTTTTAAGAGGTTTCGGCGAATCGATTTCAGAGCTGGGTAAACGTTTTTTGTTTTTTTGGGAACCTTGCACCTGGCCCAAGGTCGTTGGGGTATCTTTCGCCCCATTTTCGCCCAGTTGGTCCGAATGCATGGCTAAGACCTTGGCCAAAAAGTTTCCCCGCAGATAAGAGACGCCCCACTGTTTCCCTTTTCCTGCCGAAAAGTACTTTTGCGATAAGCCCCCCTACCACCACCCCCTGGTGGGTGTAGAAGTTACGATTTTCACTGCATGTGGCCGCACTTTGTTTCCGCTTTTAATTGTTCCCTTTATCACGCAGTTAGCTGTCCCCAAAGTAACACTCCAGCGCACATCCAGAAATATTCAAAGTGCCAATTTCGGTTGTGACAAGGAATTAAGATAGGCAAATATGGCTGTCAATTGTTGCTGGGCGCCCCTATGACACTCGTAAAATATATACGCATACGGAAAAGGGTTCAACTTGCAGTTATGTTTATTCACCATGGACGCAATATGCTTCATTTACATCTCTGTGTTGATACACTAAGAATAAATTCAGGAGAAATAATTCCTACATTTCCAACAGCTATGGATCTGTAAGCATCAATACCTTATATACATACATATACTTGTGATTACTCACTTTTGGAGATTACAGGAAGATGAATTCCTATATGATGAAGCTGAAATTCGAATCTGAAAGTTATTTTGGTAAATAGAGCCTTTGAATCGTTATTGTTGGCAAACCAATAAATAAGAGCAGCAATTCAGGTGGGCTTAGTCTATTCAAATTTATGCGTAAATATAGCCAGCAAACTCCTTGAGATTATTTGTGGGAATACCTAATGAAAGGCGGAGAATATATACGTACTGTGGGCAAGAAAATCAATACAAGAGCCGGCCATATTTCATTGATATTTGAGAGGGCGGCGGTCCTTTTTTTTTCTGTGCATGCATTATTCCTTGGTGTAGGCAGACGACGCACTTCATCATCCCGGCCCACTCACAAAGCTTGGCAGCGTGAAATTAACTGACAGAGTCCTCGGCAGGACAACTTTTTATTTATATGCCGTCGTACATTTAAATATGATGCCAACCCCGAGAGGCTGTCCTTGGTTTCTGATGTCAAACAAAGATGCCCTGAATCTGAATCTGAATCTGGGACCCGGACCCGGACGCGGTGGCGGATCGAAATCGGGAGCAGCGTGCCTTGACCCTGCAGCTCGGACTTCGCGCTTGTCCGGGGATGATATATGGCTTTCTGTAACATACATGCATGCGTGGCCAGCGTAAACCAACGTCAATTTGATGCAGCTGTCACTGGCGGAAGTGCAATCTGTGAGTTAAATGCGTGCAAAAAGCCATTTCCAGGGCCATTTCCATGGCCAAGAAAAATAAAATTAAATGGCCGCATGTAATTAAGTCGCTTAATGTGCCTCAAATTGCCAACTCGCCCGGGCCGAGGCCAGAAAAACGTCCGGGGCTTATGAATTTCCACGCATTAATTTTATTTCCCTTAATTTTCGTACCCTTTATTCGGTTCTCTTTTTTCGTTTATTCCTTTGTTTATCCCCAATGTGGCCACTTTCGGCTGCCAAGTGTCATTTTTGATTGTTGCCAAAAAAAAAATCCTGTGTTGAGGGGTGCTTTGGGATAATTAGCGGAAAACTTTGGCCAGCACTCGACTTGGCTTACACAAAGTGGCCATTAAAAATGCAAAAAAAATAAGAGTTTGATTTCATTATCGCATATCCAAAGAGCTAAAGGATTTTCCCACAATTTTCATTGTTTGGGCAACTGAAGCCGAGATTTGGTTGAAATGTGAATCTTTATTTTCAATTGGAATTTCCACCTGACTTGCCCGAAATAGCTCCAGTGCCGAGTTTCAATTTGAAAGGGATTAGGAGTGCAGGTGCATATCATAAATGCCACGCCCCCGGTGCATATAGCATAGAGAAAGTCGAATAGGTGGCTCTGAAATGAAACAATAAAAATATCCCCGAAGCTGCACACATACGATATAATGCAATAATAAAATGTGGAATGAAGGCAAGAGAAAGCACATATTGGAAAAGTTTTTCAATTTCAGCAAAGCTTTTATTTTACATGTAAAGATCTCGCACTCACACCTCGGAGCTCCACACTCCTTTTGCTTTTTTATGTCCTATCTCCATTGGGGGAAAGTGCAGGCGGTAACCAAAACTATTTTGTTTTGAACGAGAAATCCCCACTCACCAGCATAGAAATACAAAATTAGAAATAGGAAACTGGAAAACAAAACGCCAAATGTAAGCAATAAGCGAAAATGAAATGAAAACTCATGAATGGCCAACAAGCGAGGAGCACAGCAAGGGAAAGCGAAATCAAACCGAAAAAGCACTTTCCGAGTATTATTGGTGGCCAACTCTCTGTTACCATGGTCCATGGTCCCTGGTTCCCCTCTTTTTGATCCCTTTCTCCAATTTCCATTTCGCATCATCTCCCATTCGTATACGTAATATGCATTCCGTAGTTGGTGGCTCGAATTTTGCATGCCGCGACGCAGTTGGCCATGAAATGGAAAACGAAGGCCACCATAAGCTGAAAATTACCGAAAGTCCTTATCCCATATCCCACTTCGACTATCCAGTATCCAGTAACCATATCCGTATTCGTTGTGGGGAAATAGAATCAAAAGAGTAAACTTCGCGCAGACGAAGCGTGTTATGGGTTTACTTCTTTATTTATGAACGTCTGCGGTGGTTAATCGCCGTTTTTCCTTTCCAGCTGCCAGTAGCCTGGGCCCAGTTTTAAAATACATCCTAGAACTCAAAGGTTCTTTACTGCCTCTACCACAGGACAGAAATGCAGAGGATTTAATCATTTTAAATTTTAATTTTTTAAAAACTTAAAAAAGTATTGAGTGTATTTAACAAGAAAAATTGAAAATACGACTAAAATAAACTTTAGTTTTATATAAATGTTAAGTCCTTTCACTTTTATGCCCTTGACTCTTGACAAATGCCAGCCAATCTATGGCTCTCTCTGATACCATCAACTTTTATATTTGACCAACCTTGATTCCTAGAAAATGCTCCCACATGACTTGGAATTTATGGGCGGTCCATGCAGTGCTGTTAAAATCCCACATGAATTTGCATATTTCCAGAAACACAAAGCAAATGCAAAATCAGGAAAAAAGGTAAATATAGACCAAATTCGCTTGAAGAATCGGGGGAATTTGGTTTTGCTTTTGTTCAGCTTGGCGCGTCAAATTTAACATAAATCTTATTTTTCCAGGACGAAAGGAAAATGTTTGCTTTGAAAAATGTGCTGCATACTTTACAGGGCGGGTGGAGTGGAGTGTGGGCGATGTTGGATATCAGATGGACTGTCTTTGCCGTGGCAACGGATCCGAATAAAAGGCAAATACACAACGACAGCTTCGAACTGCCGTTAAATCAAACATAAAAACCAGAAACTGCAGAGCAACTCGCCTAGCAACAGCCACTAAACTGTACAAAGTCAGCTTTATGGCCCATCAAAATTGCACAACAAGCTTCTGTTGCCGGATAGGTCCCACAGGTTACCCGTATTTGTTGGCCAGATTGGTTGGTCGCCCCACATCCACCTCTCATTCCATCTGTCATTCCCTTCTCGATTTTCTAGTTTCACTCGCCCTGATTGCACAAAATATTGTTGCGGGTGTCCGTTTTCAATCTAAAATGTGTTCATCAAATCTACATAATTCGACCCAAAATCCCCTGGATTTTTGGGTGGCAATCAGCACTTTTATTGTTGCTAATCAAAGGTCAACCACACACAGATTGTAACGAAACAGACTTTTTGGCTAGTTTTGCGGCCCAGCATCCGTTCGTCGTCCTCGTTCCGGCCAAATCTCATTTCTCATTTACGGTTCCTGTCCGGTAGCAGGCATTCCATTCCATCATCCGATTCCAGCATCCGCATTCGCAACACGTACTCAACGCATTTGTCGTTCGTTAATCAGTGCGTTGATTTCTCAGGATTTATGACAGAGCCGAGTGCAACTCCCAAATCTGCAGGGCATACTCTTTCTCAATTAGACGAAAATGTTCAACGTCAAGCCTTTTCAACTTTTAAATTGCAGTGGTAGTCGAATCTTTGCAGATTCCATTTATTAATTGATTCATCTGAACGAGACTCTGGGCTATGCAGAGATGAATTTTACACTTAAAAAAACATTTGTAAAAATAAAACAATAATTCAAAATAATAAAGAAAATTCTATAAGAGCGAGAGTTTATCACAGCCTCTATTTGGGGGGTATTCTATCAATTTAATAAATGGAATGGTGCTTATTGTTTTTTTCTTGTGCAGAGCCTTTCATGGATATAGCTATTTTGCAGTTGGTATCGAGCCAGGACCTCATCCCCCGATCAGGCATTGACTTGTACAAGAAAAACC